AAAGCAACCGCCGCCTGTGAAACCAACAAAATTTTCATCGCAACGCGCGCTTGTGAACATTAATTTTTGGTCCTTCGAGCCGGATAGCCACGTCCGTTGTCCAACGTCGCAAGTGCGCGAACTCCAGTAAACTCCAACAATCCGTGTCAGTGCAACCTGAAAAAAGGGACGGTCGTAAAAAATGAGCAGTGAGATGAACATTCTTATTGATGAACAGCACGTACTTTTCAGCCGCATGGCCCGAGCGGTTGAGAATTTGAAAAAGCAAGGTCAATCTAACGTGACCTCGGGCATAATCGAGGCGAAAATCAAGACTCTCGATGCCGCTTGGTCAAAATTTGATGCTCAACACGAACTGCTCCGCTCAAAATTCTCCGACAAGCTCAGCGCGACCGACTATATCAAGGATGACTTGTACGAAACAACGGAAACGACTTACGTGTTGCAACGGGGAGCCTTGACGGACTGGTCGTGCGATCTCCAACGATCCGAACGAAGTTTCGAGCTAATGCCAGAGACAGTCAATCCTACCGGGGAACACGCCTCGCACAATCCACGGTTGCCTCGAATCAATCTGCCACAATTTTCAGGGGCAATCGAAGACTGGCTCTCATTCCGCGATCTGTTCCTCTCCGTTGTGAACAAGCATCCTTCAGTCACCAACGTGGAAAAGTTCCACTATCTGCGAACATCCCTGCAAGGTGAAGCAAGCAAGTTAATCCGCGATCTACCTCTTACGAGCGATAACTTTGAGCGAGCTTGGGCCACGCTCAAGGAATATTACGAAAATCAGCGAGTCCTAGTGCGATCCAATTTCTCCGCTTTCACCGCTGTCTCCAAAATGAAGAGTGAATCAGCTGTTGAACTGCGACGTATCTTTCAAGGCATGACCTGCGCAGCCAATGCGCAAGAAAGTCTCGGTCGACCAATCGCCACCCACGGGATGGATCTCTTTATTCATCTCGTGGTAGAGCTCCTGGATCCACAGACGAGACGCGATTGGGAAACCGCCATTCGGACGTCGTCAAATCCTCCAGAGTTTGCAGCACTCCGAACTTTCCTTATCGAAAAGATACGGACTCTCGAAGCTCTCGCACCAGCCACCGTCAAAAGTGAGAACAAGTCTGGCCAAGCCAAGGTCAATAGCTCTCGGTCCGCGAAATCGAACCACGCCAGGTCAATCTCCGGATCAAGCACTTGCTCTCTATGTAAGGGCTCTCACTTTCTCATGGCGTGCAGTGAGTTTCGGGCCAAGACTCCGAAGGAAAGGAAGACCATAGTCGACAACCAAGGACTGTGCTCCAATTGTCTAGGCAACCATGCCTTCTCCAAATGCCCGTCGACCAAGACGTGCATTCTGTGCAACGCGAAACATCATTCGCTTCTGCATGACGCCACTTCATCGTCTTCGCCGCCAGCGATCGTCGAGGCCAGTGCACTAACGGTCTCGCAACCACGCAAGGACCACAAGGCCATCCTGCTGGCCATTGCACGCCTCTCCGTCAACGATGTTTATGGCATTCCACATAAGGTGCGAGCGCTGATCGATCAGGGATCAGAAGTGTCCCTGATATCCGAAACCTTGGCTCAGCGACTCAAACTGCAACGTGCCAAATCCACCTTCGCCATTTTCGGAATCGGAGGAACTCCTTCCGGGACAGCTCGAGGAAAGGTCACGTTGCAACTCACTTCCACGGTGACTGGAGCGACCATCTCTGCAGTCGCTGTCGTGCTGCCGCGCTTGTCGCTGTATCAGAGCACAGGCTCTCAGCAGGGCAACGCATGGCCACACCTCCAAGGTCTCCCTCTAGCAGACCCCGACTTTTCATCGACAGATCCCGTCGAGCTTCTGCTCGGAGCGGAGGTCTGTTCCGTCATATTCGAGGAAGGCCTTCGCAAGGGTGAAATCGACGCTCCCATTGCTCAGCGTACGATCTTCGGCTGGATTTTGTCAGGAGGCTCATCCGACACATCACGGAGCTGCCTCGTGCCAGTGCTCAATCGAGCATGAACTTGTCAAACTGGTTCGGCAGTTTTGGGAGCAGGAGGAGGAGGCCAAGCCCTCCGTCGTCTTAACGCCCGCAGAGCAGAAGTGCGAGGAACATTACGCCAGCACACACTCTCGGCTACCGACCGGACGCTACATGGTGCGGCTCCCGCTCAAGACGCAGCCTGCTGTTCTCCGCGAGACCCGTCGGTCAGCCATGCATCTTCTCACATCCATGGAACGGAAGGGCGCCCAGGACGCCCGATTCGGAGAGATGTACCATGCTTTCCTAAAAGAATACGAGGACCTGGGGCACATGACGGAGGTAAAAGTCGCACGGCCAGGTGAGTTAGTATGCTACTTACCGCATCACGGCGTCCTTCGGGAGTCAAGCTCCACCACAAAGCTTCGGGTAGTGTTCAACGGATCACAGCGCGTCTCGACCGGTGAATCGCTGAATTCAAATCAATACATTGGAGCTAATCTCTTACCTGGATTGTCTGACGTTCTGTCGCGATGGCGTCGGCATCAATTCGTGATGATAGCTGACGTCGAAAAAATGTACCGTCAGATACTAGTACATCCAGACGACAGGAACTTCCAGCGCATCTTGTGGAAAAGGCAGCAATCAGAAGAAGTGCGCGAATATAAATTGAATACCGTCACGTACGGGCTAGCCAGTGCACCGTTTCTTGCAATTCGGACACTGCGGCAATTGGCCGACGACGAGCGCTCCCGGTATCCGCTCGGCGCGACAGTTCTTCGGCAGGACTGCTACGTGGACGACATCGTCACCGGCGCGAACACAATTCGCGATGCGACTGCTGTTCAAACACAGCTGCGGGAGTTGTGCATGGCGGGCGGGTTCCCGCTCCGAAAGTGGGCAGCCAACAATGAGGAGTTGCTCGCCGGGATTCCTCTCGCGCATCGTCTGGAGACAGCCTCTCACGCATGGGAGAACGAAAACCATTCGACTCTCGGTTTGAGGTGGTTCCCAGCCGCCGATAGCTTCGGATTCAAAATAAATCCGCGGAAGATTGCCACCTTCACCAAACGAATAGCACTCGCGGAAACAGCTCGGCTGTTTGATCCACTCGGGTGGCTGGCGCCCGTTGTCGTCCGAGCAAAGGTTCTGATTCAGTCCGCCTGGATGCAGGGGCTGGATTGGGACACACCACTGCCATCGACCGACGCACGCTCATGGCATCA